GTGAGGGAGATGAAGGAGAAGTGCTGCTGTGTCTCTCTCAACTATGAAGATGAGCTAAATCGGGGGCAGTCATCCTGCAGAGAGATGCATTACACCATGCCAGATGGGCAGATTATTACCCTCAGCACAGAGAGGTTCAGGTAATGTTGGGGGGCTGCTTCCTGCTTTTTACCAACACTTAAGTTTTAGAAATGATCTTGTGGTCACCTTGCTTGTTGTATAGCACAGACTCTTTAGCAGAGTGTACCCCCTGTTCATCTAGGGCACCTGAGATTCTGTTCAAACCTGAGCTGATTGGACGGGACCATTATGGGATGCACGAAAGCATCTACAGGTCAATCCTCAGCACAGACATTGACCTGAGGCGCTGCTTCCTGGGAAACATTGTACTTTCAGGTAACATTTGGTTCTTGGTAAGGTGTTGCACTACAATCTGAAGTACAATGGTTTTCCAAATTCTACTTCCATTTGTTTTGTCCTCTCTTCCTGAAGGTGGGAACACTCTGCTGCCCGGCCTGCCTGAGCGACTGCAGGATGAAATCAAAGGCCTGCTGCCCTCAGACATGGGGGGCAGTGTTTGTGTAACCAGCCCCAAAGATAGAGACTCCTCAGTGTGGAGAGGAGGAGCAGTGTTGGCAAATATGCCTACCTTTACCTCTGCATGGATCAGTCGGGACGAATACGAGGAGTATGGACCGCAGATAGTCTTCAGGAAGTGCTTCTGAATCGACTGAAAGGTTGATGGCTCATTTCATCAACAGTGCTGCTGGCTGCTGAGCCAGCGGGACTCAGCTGTTGTCCCTCTCTGTGGAATCTTTTGTGTTTTTCTTAATTTTCTCTCCCCTGTTCTTTAGTGGAGGTTTCCTGCTTACACCTTATGCACTTCCTATACAGCCCACTAACACGGCAATAAGGAAGTTGATCAAAACGTTCCAATCATTACTATTGTCGTTGCTATCACTATAAAACCTCTAAGTGTGTCTTAAATTCTAAATTTCTGTGTCCCAAGAACTTAAGCCTAAATATATTCATGTTCTGTGATTAAGGGGCTGAAACTGAAGCTGCCCTTTAATTCATGTCTGTCTTTGTTTCCAGAATATGCAATTGAGAAACATGAAGAAATTTTGATGTGTCAGCTTTAAATTGTGCATTAATCTGATATTGTCAAAAACCTTATTTATTGTTTTTGCTTTTATGTGAAACATGATACTTGCTTTTACACATGGTAGTCCAGCTGTAATCTGCTGTGGTTCTTTGTGCACTGAATGTTGAGTATTAAGGGCTCTGCAGAATTTATTCTTAAATCTTCTGCAATAATGGATTTGTCACAATGCAACTTTCAATGATTCCTTTAGTTAATACCACCTTTTCGTTGTAATATGACTCAGATTGTCATCATAACACATGACAGAATATATTTGTTTTTAATTTATTTTTCTGTGCAGAATCCTTTGAATGGAGTGGCTCCTAATACTCATCAGATGGGTGCAGTGTACATGAGTTTTTCCTGAGGTCATTGTTGGTTCTTGTCAGACCTCGTTGCACGTGTTGCTCTGGTACATTGTGAACTCTCTATAATTTTTCAGTGTGGAGGTTGTTTTGGGTTTTTTTGGGGGGCTTTTTGTGTAGGGGACCATTGTGTGTTTTACATGCATTCTTGCACAAGTTATCCTTTTTGTGGACTCTGTTCCAGTGATGCCAAACTGCTCAATTCCTGTTAAATTCTGAAGAAAAACAAACAGTGGCAGCCCGTGCTGTTAGACTTGGTGAACATTTAAAGATTTTTTTATTATTTATTCTGTGCATGAAATTCAGTTGCATGAGTTTGAATTCCATGTGTGTGTCTGTGTTGTTTTGGACTTGTGTGTACTTTGCATGAATTTTGTATTTTTAAGTGTCTGTCTAAAAGCACAGGGTTCGCCATGTGGCCTAGAGCTCTGCTCTTATGGGGAAATTACTGAGCGGTGACAGCAGGAGCTGCCGTTTCAGGCAAGTTTGAAGTGAACAGGCTCATGGATTGTGTGGTTCTTCTAATTGTAGTTAAACGGCTGGGCCGAGTCCAGCAGTGTTTTTCCTGAACCATGTCTTTTTTTTTTTTTTTTAAATAAATATTGTAATCATCATCCTGCTGTGCTGACTTTGTTTCAGTTGTAGACGTCCCTGAATGTTGAGACT